CAGCCTGATGATTAACAAGCCTGAGTGTTCTTTGCCGTAATTTATTGACATAGCACAAAAACCTGGTAACTTACTGTGGTAAGTCTCACGTGCTCCGTGTTGGTTTTCAGTGTTTATGGAAATATTTAAAAAGTGGGGATTTACCTGGTATTTGAATATGTTTAAATGTTCAGGAAGGATTGTTCCATGAAAAACTTTTTGTTAATGGTTGTAAAATTTTCTAACTATTATTCAGATTTACCGAGATGGTTCAAAATCCCAATGAGCCTATGAGAAAATATAAATACTGTCAGCGAGAGAATGTCTGCTGGTGGGACCCAGGAAGAAAGCCTTCTCTGCTGTTCCGCCCGCCCTTTGGAATATTCCGTCTCCAGAAGTGCAGCGGGCCCCTACCCTCCCAGCTTTCCAAAAAGGGTTACGGACCTGGCTCTAAAAGCAAGCATGGGGCAACATGAGCTCTAATCACCCCTGGGTGTGGTTACCGCCCTGACGACACTCCCTGAGTTATTCGCCAACTCTCCCTCTTTCTTGGAAGCTATTTATTATTAGGATTGTTTTTATATTGTATGTGAATGAATTTTATGTCTGCTTTAAACCGGCCAAAGTCGTTTCAGCAAGATGGGCAACAACAAATTTTATAAATAAATAAATGCTCAGAGAGACTCCTGTTTGCACCATTTAAGCAGAATTATAAGTAATTCAAACAATTTCTCCAGTGAACACCCTTTTTACGAAGGGGAGAGGGGTAACTTTCCTGATTTTGAGATTCATTCATGAGCATATTTTTGGACATCTTTCCTTTGAGGAATTCACATGATCACCTTCAAAAACTCCTAGGGGCACACTTGGAAAGTTTCTATGTGACCCCTTCAACAACATGGAAGAGGCTCAGTTTCTCTCTTAGCGAAAATTCCACCATGTCCAGCACTAAAGGCTGCCAGGCAGCTTTGGAAAACGCCGGAATAAATCTCTTGCGCAGACTTAATTTTCACACCAAGCCCTGCACAGGTGACCCCTTTAGAATTTATGAGAAATTGTATCTGTTTGGCATGGTGATCAAGGATCTTTTTATTCCACAAGGGTTCTTTTAGTGTCAAATATATATAATATGCAAATTAATTGCACTAATAAAATAACAGCATCATAATGTGTGAAGAAAAGAAAAAAGGAAATAACGTGACCACAACCTTGGAATTGTGAGACTGGATTGTTTTAAAGCAACTTCTGCTTCTATGAGTCCAATTATTGATGAAAATGGTCTCTTCTTCTTCTTCTGCTGAATTCCAGTTGTCAAAACAATATGGTCCCATTTTCCGCATCAAACTGGGATTCCAGGAAATGGTGGTGCTGACTGGCTATGAGACGGTCAAAGAGGCTCTGGTGAACCAGGCGGATGTATTTGCTGAGAGAGCTGCCATCCCCCTTTTTGAGGAATTTGCAAAGGGCTCTGGTGAGTTTTTCATTCTGGATCGTAGCTGCCATTCCTTGCAGATGTGTGATCAGCATCATGTAGAACTTTTCTCCTGCGGTTCTCACAGGTGGTAACCTCAGAGGACTGGGACAGCTTCTGGAAATCCAACCAGGATGGAGATCCAACTAAAACCTTTCTTCTGCCACTGTCTCTTAGTCCCTCCGTGCCAACGGAGGGAGCTGGAGAATGAAAAGCTGTGGCAATATTCTGCCAGGCACATGAGCTTCACACACTCCTCACCACCATGTTTGATTCTGCTTCTTTGCAAATTTGTGTCTGTCCATGGATCTGTGTGCATGACAGAGATTGTGTGTACGGAATCCCAGTAGCACGTATGCCTTTTCCTGCATATTTCTCCTCCTATACATAGTTATACATACCTTTCTTTCTGCAAT